GAAATCCATGCCGCTAATAATGTTTATGTAGGAACTCTTTGGAGTACGAGCTTTCACAATAATTGCATTGTTCGACCCCCGTATATACTGCCCCGTCTCCTTCACACTATTTGAATGATAATTAAGTGTGTATTACGTGTGTTGGCTTGAAAACGGCGAAAGAAAATGCCCTCAGGACCAAAAACTGTGAGGTTTTTCAAGTTGCATTTTTTAGCCCCTTGGAGAACCAAACAGGATGTAAAGTTCTAATGAGAAGAGAGATTTTTAGATATGTATGGAAGAGAAGTAGTAGTTTTCTTTAAACTAACAGACATACATTCTAATTAGATTCGGTTTAGTATGTTACGATATTTCTGACTTGAATTTTTTATAAATATTTAACATATTTAAAAAATGTTTTAAGAGAACTTTTTAGCTCAGTCTTGGTTCTAAAATTTGTAAAAATAAAATTATAAATTGATAACTTAATATTTTACATTTATTTCTTGTATAATTTTGGTAATATTTATTGTATGTTATTTTCCCTATCAATGTACAGGTTAATTTATAATCCCCAAAATTGAAATTGGGTCCTAAAATTGCAAATTTTTTATTTATATATATATTAAAAATGATATAAGCTTTAAGTCTAGGTTAATTTGTTTCTTTTCTAAAACTTTGTTTTTAAAGTAATTCAGTGCTCAAAAATGTTGGCAAAATTGATGTACAAAATCATTAAAAAAGCTTTGAGGTCTATTATCTAAATAAAATTTGGAAACAAAAAGACTTAAGCAGACAAATGGAAACAAAATTATCCATAATCAAGAATATCAACAGAATTTTGATATAGTTATTTATTATTATATTATAATGACTCGTTTTAGTGTTGTTTCATTATCAAAACAGAATTGTCAAGGTGCTGCTCTTAATGTATGTCTATAGAAAGATAACTGTTCACATACTATTTGCCGCTTTTCCCGCGCATAACTCTCCGAACGTGCTCGCTGGCAGTTAGCATTAAAAATATGACAAAAGAAATTTGCATTGCATACAAACAGGCGCAGTGCGGCGCGTGTTGTAAAATGTGTTGTAAAACGTGCGTGTCGCGGCACAACTATAATTTAAATGCTGCTGTAACACTTTAGTTTAATGGATTTACATGCGCTGTTAGCGCAGAAGGGCTTCGCCGCTCGCAGCTCGTTGTTCGAAGACAAGCCACAAAATGTATAGCGCCAAATGGCTTTAAAGTTACGTCCCATAATGAGCATAAAAATATAATGCCCATCTATATCTGTATATATATGTATGCATTTACAATGTAAGCAAAGGGAAAAACCTACCCGACAGCAACTCGATGAGTAAACTGCTAAAAATTGTTTACCAATGCGTCGCGCTGATGATGTCATCAGCTGAGCTCGATATCTCGGAGGAGGGTTGTTTGCCAAATTATGCATCCTGACTTTACGAACAACAACACAAGCAAAAAGCACAAAAATGAAACCCATTGCAGAATCAATAACACTAAACAGAGCAGAGCTCCAGAAACTTCAAGATGCGAGTCAGACGTCGCCTTTTGCCACGGCCAGACGACCCGTCCAACTGGCGCCAATATGTGCACACATACACACATATATGCACATCTGTATGTATATGTATATGTATTTATACTTATTTTTCCTGTTATTCGAGGGTTGCTCTGGTTACTACGCTAGTTTGGCCAGCTCACGAAACTTTCGTTGACTGCAGATTTTTAACTCTTCTTCAAGTACTTAACATTTTCGAGTTTGATTTCTTTAATTAGACAAATTTCCTCAGGCTTTAGGCGATAATTGAATTTTGGAATATTATAAAAAATTATGAAAAAAAATCTGTAAGCAGCTACTTTCCGCGTTTCCTAATTGGAAGACAACAACAAAAGGGTTTTGAAACAGAGTTAAGCTGTTGGCCCGCTGGCGTCAAATTCAATTTTCGCTTTCATCTTTTAATCGATTGCGTGTTAATTAGATAATTTTTTAAGTAATTAACAGCCGACAGTTGCAGCTAAAACAGAAGTTCGCACAGCTTTTATGCTGCAAGTTCGGAAGACATAAAATTTTTGTTGCATGACTGCTGCTGCTGCTGCTCTTCTAAAGACTTTCTAGCCGGGGGCTAGAAAAGTTGGATGCCATATTTTGTAGTCATAAATTGAGCTAATTTCGCTGATTATTATTACAGCAGCTAACCAGATTATTATTTATTAGAAGAGACGCTCAACGTTTTTTATAACTTTTATGTTTTTAACAACTTCTGAGGTTGGGCAATCGCTAGAAGGTAGCTTGAATAACAGGTAAGAGTTTCTTTTGAATATTGGAAAAACTGTTGGATAGATATCTTGCAGATAGAACATTGCAGCTGGGGAATAGCTTAGACTTAACAGAATGAAAAGTGTTTCAGAGACAGATAGAAGAGGAGAGAGTGAGGAAGATATACAATAAAAAGGGAGAAAGATTAAGACAATGCTCTCACTGGCAGAAAGGGAGAGAAAGGAGGCAGACAAAGAGGGAAAAATGGGAAAGAGCCATAGGCCGAGAGGCAAATTAAAGATTAAAAATATAAGATTTAAATTCAACCGGAATTCTTCTGCTTTGGTTCCCTCTGATAATATTTGCTATAAGCAGAAATTGAAACTCTCACCCATATGAGCTGCCACATCATAACTCTGGTACTTGCCCAGTGGCAGAGTCACAGAGTATTTAGAGCATTTTCATTCAACAGCATATAACAGGGCTTATTCCAATTAGAAAGCCCAAAGTTTAAGCTCCTCATGCAGTATATTAATCTGATGTTATTCAGCAAGCTATTAAAATAACAGAAATTTATTTTGTGCACAGCAAATACCTCTATTTCGCTTTGGACCAGCAAAAAAGCAACTCTCTATATGTTGCTGGTCTTCCATCTGCACTAATTAAATAATAAATTTAAGTACTAACTCATATCAACTTGTTTTAGTTGTTGTAGCTGTAATTTGTCGGTTTGTTTGTTTGTTTGTTTGTTTTGGGGGCAGCTTGCTGCTTGTGTTTTATGGGTGGGTAACATCGTTGCGGTCGTCATCAGCGCCATCAGCGTCATTTCATAAAAGCCCAGCGCACAAATGCAGACAAGGACAACAAGGAGCGGTGCTCGCATTGCAGTGCATTGCATTGCATTGCACTGCATTCGACTGGATGGCAGTGCGTTGAGTTCCGGTGCTGCTAATTACTCAAGCAGACGGGCACGATGAGGACTCAAGGACCTTGTCGGCGGCAGCACCACATATAATGAACATATGCCAACTGTGCGACACAGTGGCATAAAAAGCTTTTTCTTCCTCTCCTGGTTTTTTTTTGTGCCACTTCACAAGTTATTTACGGCTACGCAGGGGGAAGCGAGGTGAGTGAGCGGTGGGCGGGGGCGTGGCACTTGCATATAATGCACAACATAATTTTAATTAGTGGCACATGAGAACCCATAAGAGAGATAGACCAGCCACACACGCACAGCAAGGTAGAGCGAACTGTGCTTGCAACAAAAATTATTATGTTATTACGGCTTTTGAGCACAAGCCGCTTATGCGTGGGCTGCTACAGGGGCCCACAAAGGGCGTGGCCCAGGTTTAGCAGCAAACACAACTTATGTGCCATGTGTTGTGTATATATATGGGTGTGTGTGTGTGTGTTATGTAAAACAAATTGACAACAGAAGCAAAACAAATATTTGGGTCAGATAAACCTTTTTTGCTATTTGAAGAGATAAAAATTGGAAGCAGAAATATATAAAATATAAAATAAAACATTTTCAAGAACTAATCAGCAGGCTAAGCAGGCAAAATGGAAACAAAGTATAGATCAACTGCATAATACACTATGAAAAACAGCTAAAGAAAGAGAAAAAGAGAGAGAGAGAGGAGGACCTAGAAGAAAAGGTGATGGCATGAACAAGACAGTGAGAGCGAGAGAGATTGAGAGAAAGCTAGACTGGCAAGACACAAACACAGAGAGAGTGAGAGAGACAGAGCCTAAGACTGAGCGAGAGAAGGAAAAAAGGAGAGACGTACAAAGAGAGGGTAAGATACAAAGGGAAGAAGAGCGAGTGAAATAGAAACAAGCTCTAAATCTATAGAGTACACAGAGAGAAAGAGAGTGAGAGATTTACTTACAGCATGTTAGAGTTATTGAGAGAAAGATACTCTGGCAGGCTGTCATAAAGAGAAAGAAATATAATGACAGGTATAAACAAGCTATGAACTATGGAGTATACGGAAGGAAGGAAAGAAAGCAAAAGAACCACATAAGAAGATGGCGAGATAGAAATTGAATATCGCCCTCTCTTAATACCTCTCTCTGAGGGAAATAGGAGCAAGCTGTAAAACTATGGAGTATATTTGTCACGTGCAAAATAACCATATAAAATTCAAGTTTATCAGACATGGGTAAATATGTGTATTTCAAATCTCCAGCCATGAAATGCTTTGCATTTCAGAAGATCCAATGAACAGGCACAAAACTTATAAATTCCATTCACTTTTATGAACGACTAGAGAGAAAGTGATGTATTCATCTTCAAAACCTGAGCTTCGTCAGAGTTTGTATTGTTCAGGTTGTTATATTACTTAATTCAATATTCTTTAGAGTGAATCATTATTGAATGATTATGAATAATACTCAGAGTACATAGTACTCATAATATTTATGAATAATACTTAAAGCTTATTCAAATATTGATTCTATATAACACTCATATTGTTTCGCTATGCCATTCGAAAAAGCTGGTCTATGAACGCTACGTTTTAAAGGCATCAGCTCAGCTGCTCATAGGGAATAGAGATCACAGACCACACTTGGTCTAGCTGCTGCAAAATAATTGAGATCATTCAACAATTTCGAGTTCAGAGTGCAAAGTCAACTAAGCCCGAATATCCAAAAGGCAAGCAAGCCAAGTATTGTTTATCATTTCATGCAAAATATTGTTGTATAACCATAAAGTTTATCCAAATTCTAGCATTCCATGCTTTCTCAATCAAAAAATTTATATATATGTATAATTATATTTGTTGTAAATGCTGCATTACGTAAGACCCCTAGCAGTTGCTGTCAAAACTTAAACGGACCGCTTCAATGTTGAATGTAGCTAAAGTTAGCCCAGTTTCATAAAATTTTTGGTTTCTAAAAGCACAGAACGAAATTCGTGATTTTCAAAAACCAATTTCAAAAATATAAAACAACACAAAAAAATTCATACGGAAACACTATGTCCAGTTTAGATGATTTCTTTGCTAAAAAGGACCGTAAGAAGTCCGCAACAAAAACAAATCTCTTGGCCGCCGATGAGCTCTATCGCACACTGGAGGAGACCACCAAGGCATCCCAAGAGGTGGACAGCAGCGAGAAGCTGCAGCTGGAGGTAATCAACAATCAGCATCCGCAGCACACAGCGCTCGAATTTGGCATACGCTTCTCCGACGAGACCATCGATGAGGAGGATGAGTGGTGTGACTTCACTGAGGAGCACGATCAGCCGTTTCCTAATCTCAAACGCAACTCCAAGCTGGCATTGAGCTCGACTGTTGTGGCCGCCGGCAGCAGCATCGGCGAGGACGCGAATCTGACTGTTGAAAATTGCCCCTATCAGGATACGGGCGGCGATGGCCTGGGCGTGGGCTCAGCAGCTGACGAGATGGGCAAGCCAGCCTGTCCCTGGCTAAAGCTGGAGCACACGGAACTAACTAATTTTAGTCCCAAGGCCATGGTCGCGGCCCTGGAGCGTGAGCAGTCTCTGACACAGTCGTCCTCGCAACTGCAGTCTCGATCACAAAGGCACTCGCAGTCGCAATCACAGCCCCAGTCTCAGTCTCAGTTCCAGTCTCCGATACAGTCGCAATCATCATTACAGTTCCAGCCACAGTCCCAAGCAGCTTCACAGTCAACATTCAAGACTCAGCAAAGTATTGCGCTCAAGAAACAAGTCTATGTGCCGCCAGCTCTGCGCCAGAGCCAAAGCGAGTTCAGTGTTCGTCCACGCAAGCAAGCGCCTCCAGTGGCCATGAAGCTGGCCAAGGGCCAGGCGCCCGATTTAAATAATGTCGATTTCTTTCCATCACTCTGTCAATCACGCATCTCGAAGCGTGCCAAGTAGTTTTCGCATTTTTTTCTCCGTTTCTTCTAGTTAACACATTTAAATTTGCAACGATTAAAGCTTGAGTCCCGATTAAAAAGTAGAAAAAAAAATCAAAACCATATCTCGCTCTCTTTCCCTCTCTCTCTCTGTATCCATCGCCGCCTTTTCATGCTCCCTGGCGTATCATTAGCCACAAACAAGCCAAATATTTACAGCCAAATCGTTTGAGCGCTAAATGCACCCCGCGGACTGTTTTGCACAACACGCGCCAAAGTTGCCAGCAAAATATATTCATTTCGGGCATTTATCATATCGTTAAATTATCTCTTTTATGGCCACATATGACTATGAATAAATAAGCCATAATCAATTTATGCAACGCAGATTAAAGTATTCGAATAAGTCGCTTGGCCGAAATGTTATGGATTGCAATGTCTTCTAGCTGCCAAAGTCATTTACTATAGACTAGAGTCGGGCATTATAAAATATTATAATTAAAATATATTAGATTATATTAGTTTATGGTGCTACACTCCAGTCCAGTTAAATTATTGTGTTTTTAGATAACATAGTTAAATACTTTCGATAATTCGTAGATATATGTTTATAATGAGCTTACAATCTACATTTTTTCCATTTCAGAGATTATTTCACATTTTTGAATATATATTTATATTATATATTAGTTTCGACTATTAATTAATATAGCTAATAGAACTATATTAATATTTAAATGGTTATTATATTTATGTGTATTTGGATAGCATAATCAAATATACTCTGTTGACAGGGGCATATATAAAATCCGTTACACAATTGTTTGGAATTAATTTTGTTTTTCTTTCTCTGCCTCTCTCTGTCTCTCTCTATTTCTGTCAATGTATCTCTCTTTCTTTCTTTCATTCTCTCTGTGCCTCTCAATTTCTTTCTGCCTCTCTCTCTCTCTCTCTCTCTGTCTCTCTCTCTATTTCTTTCTGCTTCTCTCTCTCTGTCTCTATCTCTCTCTGCCTGTCTCTCTGTTTCACACTCTCTGTCACTCTCAGCCTTTTGTCTACCTCTCTCTGTCTCTGTCTCTGTCTCTGTCTCTCTTGTCCCTCAGTCCAAGCAGAAACAAATTCTGGCATACGAATACCAAAGTCGACTTTAATAAATAAGACCTTTTAATTGAATACTAACGACATTTTAAGAATTACCCACAAAATCTTTCAATCTTAATTAAAATCCCTCTAGAAACTAAAATGAGCACGTTGAAGAAAATATGAGAAGTGTTATTAAATATATCTATAGATATAGAGTAGAGGCGCCAATTAGAGGTATCATATGAAGGAAAACTAGATAGTTCGAAGCGCTAACCCATAATACTCTAGTCTACTCTCCCTTGATTCCTTTACAGAGTAACAAAAATATCCTAGTCTATGTCAAGCTTTAATGTAGTCTACAATAATGTAAAACAGAGTCAATTCCCTCTACAAACAGGAGCCAAACACTCCCAGTAAGAACTTTCAGTACTTCAATGAGAACCATTAAGAACAAAGGATTGACTCTAAGGCCGGTCCAGCATTCCTCATTCTTTTATTTTTGTTTTACAAAATGCAACATCAAAGTTTGCTGAAGAAATCGCAAAAGCGAATTTCCCTTTATAACTGACAATTTATTAAGACAAACATTTTGTTTTTGCAATACTTAATCCGTTACCGACTTGGGAATCCCGGGTCGCTGAGTGCAAGCCTCAGCATGATACTACTAGATGTAACTCAGCATGGTACTAATAGACGACCTCCGACCCGACCGGTTTTTGAAACCTACTTCCCTTCTAATCAGGCTAACAGTGGCCAGCGAAGGGTCCATAGCAGGAGCAACATCCGTATGGTCCAATCGGACCGCAACAGTGGTTGACCGCCCTGAACCACTGCCCGTTGTAGGGACCGCAGAACCCGCATGGCCCCAATCCACCTGTCGGTCCGCAACAGGTGCCAGGCATTGAACGCAAGCAAGGATTACACATCTTTGTGCTAAACAAAAATAAGAAACACCTTTGAGATCTCATACCGTTAGCTGGAATAATGCTCGGCGCCTTCTCCAATACTCACTATAGCCTGTTCACGGAAGTAGGTTGTCAAAAATAAGTTTGTGGTTTTTCCAAAAGATGTTGGTTCTTCAACAGCCGAAACTATTATGAGAGCTAGGAATTTTGGGAGCCAGCAATTCGGGTTTCGGTTTAAAATGTAAGTCAAAGCCGGCTTTGGTTGTGTTGACAAGCTATAATACTTTGCTTAAACTGGATTGAAATATACCAAATTAATTGCGTCTAGTTTCAAGAACGTGAAAATTGCTCAAATTATAAATATCATAAAGGTTATTTTTTCCAATTTCCAATTTATTGAGAATGCAGAGAGTTCTACAGAAAGACATACGTGAAAAGTTTCATAGCTCTAGTATATAGATTTCGTAATCGACATATCCGTGCAGACGAATAGATAGGAGGATAAACTAAGCAACAGACAAATGGACAGGTCTAGATCAAGTTTGTTGTTGCTCTCTATCAAAAATATATGTACCTTAAGGGATCTGACACGCCTTCTTCATGTTCAAAATGATCTGATCTAGTATGCCTTCTTCATACTCTAATACTTTCCCCTTTCACCTGTTCCATACATTCAATCGAAAACATCATACCCTTCATACTTTTTCCATGAGTATAATTTGAGCAGTTGTAAGGCCTTTCTTAAGCAACATACAAAACTCTTAAATGAGATACCTTTAAATAGAACTCATTGTAAAAGTCTTCGCTGTCTGTTGCTTCACTTTCTCCCGTTTGTAATTATCACTTAAAACACTTCTACTTTACTCAACATTTCCTTTGCTTTCCTTAGTTTAAGTCTATATTGTTTAACCATTAAATCTGTAAACGGCAAAGATTGCAGCATTTCTTTTATTTTATATTTTTTTAACATTCGCTTTCAATTCCCATCAAGTGCTGCCCCCATGTTGACCGCCTGCCGCACTGCTCGGCTCTTATGGGTCCCCAGGCTAGCCATTAGCATTTGTGCTCTGTTAAGCTTTTGTGGAAATCAGCGCCCACAGAACTACAAATCTGTACAGTTCATGGCCAAAGCGTAATATCAAATGGAAATACACTTGACTGCACTTGTGAAATATTTGCAGTGTCGCTCGCCGGTTACCCCTTGGGGTTTGCCTTTCGTTCGGGCCATAACTCAGCGGGCTGAGCGAAGCAACAAGTGTAGCCTAGCTCCTTTTGCTATACCTTCACGTTCTTTTCGTTTTGATTGTTTTAGCTACGGAGCTAAGACAAAAACCACTTTTCTTGACTGTGCATTTTATAGGAGAAATATGCTATTCCTTTGCCTCACTGCCTAACTACGTGAAGCCTGAAGGCAGAAGCTCGAAGCTCAGGCGCACCCACTAGGGCTGAGTCGAGTTGCTCTTGCGTTGTTTACTTCAAACCGGATTCACAGTCAAAGCGAAGTAAAGTCATTTGACAAGTTTTGTCACGTGCGTCACATGTTGGAATGTACCCAGCTCAGCGCTGCCTTCGCTGCCTTCACTGCCTTCGTCCTGCCAGCTCCTTCATTCTGGCTTCAGCACATTTCAAGCAATTTTCCACACAGCAGTTGTCGTCATTGTTTCACAAAATTATTCTACTTGTTGTCGTTGTTGTTGTTGACCTGGTTTTTCTGCTTACACAGCGCCCAACACTTTTGTTGTTGTGCTGTCCTGTTGTCGCCTAGAATCTGAGAGTGTTGCTCTTGTCGCTTCCGTTGTTTGTTTAAATGTGTTTGTGATTATTTAGTTATGGCATCTAATTGAGTTTTGTGTTGTTATTTGTTTTAGTCTCTCTCTCCCTCTGTGTGTGTGTGTGTGTTTGGAGGCCCTTGTGCTCCGGCTAATTGAGTTGATTACCTCAACATCTTGTCAGTTTGTCCATTGGCAGAAGAACTCAAAGTTTAAAAATTGAACAAGGCTGTCAATTAAAAGATTTTTGCATTGTGAAGGGTCATTGAGTTGAAATAACGCCATTTCCTTTAGGGTTTTCACTGTTAAGATAAGATTTAAAAAACAAAAAAAATCGATGCATTTGTTTTATAAAAATTAAATGAAATAAAATTAATATATAAACAACAAAAGGCTAATTTAACAATGCTCCTAGCACTTTTATATTACTAACTCAATATACCCACTTTGACTATGCTAATTTCCTAGCGTATGCGGCATAAAAAACATAAAACATAAACATAAACTTGCTTACAAAGTTCAACTAACCCACTCAAACCACAACGACAGCCACACACACGCACTCGCTCGCACACAGACTCACGTTAATGCTCCTTGAATCATTCACAATAGACGATTGGCAATAGACAAACTCCATTTGAGCGTATAATTGCATGCAACGGCGCTTTATAAGTCAGCATCCGCTCGACTCGATGACGTCTTTACTCACTCTGGGGTTTTGTGCTTTTGATTGCTCAATTGCTGATGGACTCACTGACAGAGTGACTGACTGACTGGCTGATTGAATGATTGACTAAGCGCTGGACTGTGTGGGCGACTCACTGACTTGGCCGACTTGTTGTGCATTTCAATAAAACATTCGCTGCATAACTACAATGGGCATAAGTTATGCTCCCCTGACGTCGACATCGATGGACTGACTCGGATTTCAACGCACGGCTCAACCATCAACTCTATGGAAGACAGAGGGAGGGTAAGGGAGACAGAAAGAGAGCACTAGACTCGCACTAATTCCCACAGGATGATAGAACATGCATTCAATGGACTGATTGATAGTATCCGCTCAAGCTCCTTTGTCTGGCACTCAGCGGCTTATTTTAGTTGGTTTAAACACGCATTCAACGTGCTGAAGTCATTCTAGCAGATATCATAATCGATAACGATGATAGATAAATACAATTTATATTCAGCTACAGATGTTTTTATCTTTAATAAATCTCTGTTTTGATAAAACTTGAATAGATTTGACTAGACTTAAGGAGGTAGTGATTATGAGAATGATAACAAAAAGTTATAAAAGAATATAATTAATCGATAACGATAAGAAACGAACTTTTTTAATGGAATTAAAATTTGCATTTGCCATTATTCAAAGCCTCAATTGTTAAGCTATTATTCAATGTTCCTAGACTCGACAATGCCATACATTTGCTATGCTAAAAATGATCATGAATAAGTGATATATAGATATAATTATATCACATTTTAATTGAAATATCAAATATATTGGTCTAATAAGTGGATTGACTTTATATCTATTATATATAACTTACTTTACATTAATATTTATATTCTATACTACACAAAAACCCTATTTCACGGGCTAAAGACGAGCAAAAATTGATGAATATTTAATATGTTTGTAAAACATTATTTCAACGTCAAATACTTGAATACTTTATAATTAATTTTTTTAAACTATTTCCAGCGGCTTTCCCCGCTTAATCAAAACGAAAAATAACAACAAAAAGAACAACAACTGCAAAAGTTATCGCTGGACTTCCGCTGAACGGTCGGCTCTTTGAATGGGGACATTGAACTTCCTCAATTTCAAGCAGCTTGAGGCATTTCATTGCACAGCATTGAAGCAAAGGGAAACTGCTGCAAGCACGTAACATTAAACAGGCTACACTCACAACATGAATATATGTATACATTTATATACAACTCGTGTGTATTTTTTAAAGTTCTTCAACTTGGCACCGCAACAATGCAGCGAAATATGAAACCGACACGCGATGTAAAAAATAAACTCGAGTTGAAATCAGGCAAAGCCTTAAATACATAAAAATATATATTTAATTTTTGTTATATTTGAAATTAGAAATTCTCTTTTGCATTTCACTTTCGTTTTGTTTGGCACATCAAAAGCCAAAAGCTGTTCGGTCAATGATTCTCAATAGATGCTTCTCGACTAGCATTTTCTCATTCATATTGCAATCAATTAATTAAATTGAGTTTTGTTTTTCCTGCAATTTGCAATTATACAAAAAGGTATTCAATAACAGTAGCAGCAGCAACAGCAAAATACAAATCAATCAAAAATTCCAGCTATTTGCATTTCGAATTCTTGAATTACACTTGGCATTGGGTTGAAATTTGAATAGTTGATATAAAATATGTAGGACATTGCCTTGAATTTCTATGATCGAACATTTAGTTTTGATTACAAAACAAAAATTAAGATACAATACCCTTGAGTGTTTGAACGCTTTGAATGTGATATACATTCCATGCCACAAAGGTGCCAAGCCGTAATAAAAAGAAGTGATCTGAATACTGAATAAAAAAATATATAAAAAATATACTATAGGAAGTTCAAAGAATGTTAATTAGTTTGTTATCCCCTTTCTTCAATAGTCACTACTATTTTAATAAACAGCTAAATTTTGTAAATATTTCTTTTTCAAGTTTGCTACCAAAAATGTATTTAAATTAATACAGAAAGCTTTGTTTATATTAATTCTAATGTATTGATTACTACATTTTTACTATCCTACATTTAGTCATTTTGTCAGTCGCACTTCTATTTTAATGAACAAATGTATATCTAATTTTTCACAATATGTAATTAGATTTTCTTGTTGATAAGCCTGCAAAAAAATTTGGATTGTCAATAAATATAATTTTAAATTTCCTGAAAATATATGTTCTTGAATTGTTTATCTTAAGCTCTTTATGTAAAAAAGGAATTTTATATTCGACTTTTGACTTATATTCACTTATCACTTTTGACAACTCATTTCATGAACATCAATTGGTATTCAATTTGCTAGCATTTGAGCAATTTAACTTGTCTATCCTCTTGTTGCTGGCAAATTGAATTAGACGTGCTTAAATGGTTCAGATCATTTTAAAGTTATTGGTCTGCCTGAAGGCTATAACATTTTGAGATTTTGTCATAAATCATTAAGCTAATTAATTTAAATACATGTGCCAAATTAGAAGCGTATAACAAGTAACAGCTGCTCCACCTACAAACACATAAATCTCGAAAGCAATTTGTCCTTAAAGTGTCATAAAATGCATGCAGGCCAGCTAGTTAGCAAGAGTTGAAGTGAACTTCAAGTAAAAGTTTATAATTAAAACTTTATGCACGTTTTGTCTAAGTAAATACAACACAGAAGGAGAGAGAGAGACAGAGCGAGAGAGAGAGT